AATGGCGCTAGTCATATTAGTGGTCTTAGTCTCTATTGTCCTAGATGGACGAAAACATGATGACGATTACCTAACGATCTTAAAAATATGACCTGCACAAGGAAATATTTAGCATCTCTACACATACAGATATTGGAAGTTACATTCGGTTATACAATAAGTTTTGCTCTTTAGATTCGCTGCTCCTTTAATTACATATAAATGGTTTCAGATTGATAATCAACGAAGGTTCACTGTGGAAAATCGTTCTAAAGTTAACAAATAAATTTTTTATACGTTGTTAATAATTTGAGTAATATACTTTTTCTCAATAAACAAGGATAACTAAAGAACCTAAAGTACTATTATTGACAATATGAAAATTTGCATTTATTACTCAGATATTTCACCAAGAGAACCATTTGCATAATTATGAGAAAAAAAGTTATAAGGACCACAAGAAGTCATATAAAACCTTCCATATAAATCGTTCTTACACACACATTACTTAATCATACACCTGTGAACATATTTTTAAAAAAAAATATGCTTGTGTCAAATAGTAAATCGAGTAACATTTCTTTAAGTAACAGAATAATTAATACACGTATCCCGCATTATCTAAAAACTGGAGGATAAAGAAGAGCTATTAATTTAATGCGAATTATATTATTCTATTAGAAAACAGAATATCAAGCAATATTTTGTACAAAAACACTTCGTAATTATTGTAACAGTAATACCAAATTGGTAGTAAACAACTAAAAGTAAACTAATCTTGAAAATCGTTACACCGATAATTGTAATGGTTATTCCCCTTTCTATGTTCTTAAATAATTGCATGCATTGAATAGCAGAAATTTTTCGTTCTTTCCTTTTCTTAACAAGCTATTTAGTCATTATTGCATAGTTTGTTTTAAGGTCACACCAACACAATATAGGTAATAACTATGTGGATGTCCCCGATTTACTGATGGAGGAATACCTCAGATGCCCCTCCGTTCTTTATTTTAGGAACGAACTGGTGGTACCTGGGTATAACCACCGACATTCCGAAAGCTTGGTGGATAGCTTCCTCACAGGAAAGAATCCACAGTCTTAGCAGATTCGAACCAACAGCAGTGAGGGGCCAGTGCTCTGAAATCAACGACTTCCAAGACGCTCAAAAACCATAGCATAACCTTCATAGACATCAAGTTAGCCCATTTGAAAGAAGTGAACATTTACTAGTTACTGAGGCATAATGTGCCTTTAAATAATAAAATAGTTGCATGTATAGAAGTACTCTGAGGCTCATGGTTTAACCAGAACGGATCACACACGCTGCTACTGAGCTTTATGGAGCCCTATAGTAAAATCCACTCCAGTTCCCGAAATAGATACACATTAGATAAAATTTGTTTTTCTTGAATGTTTAATTAGAGGAAAGACAATCGTGTAATGGTAAAATGTTTATTAGTAATCCTAATTTCCTCCCTTGACAAGTCATAATAATTGCTATAATTATATATATTGCCGAGTATTTTCACATGATAATGTCTATCGCCTAAAAATTGTAAGTTCGTGAAAATATGCTGTATGATGTACTGTAATGTTTACATGATACCAAAATAGTTTATTTGCTTGTAATATTTCTATATTTTTATCCTTGTTTTTGTACGTACACAATATAATAAACAAGATCAACAAGGAAGGCGGCATCCAATGAACGCAACCCCCACACAACCCAGCAACAAGAACAAGCAACAAGGAGCCTAGGAGGACCCAAAACAAAAACTAGGCAAGGCGCAAGGCATAGTACGGAAAGGCGAATTATTTAAATGATACTGCTTTAAGAGCCCAATCACAAATCTAAGAGGCTTATGTTTGCATCTTTGTCAACAAAAAAGTACAAAACTTACAATTATAGTGGAAGAAAGGCCTTAGACAATTACCATATTAACATGCAGTATGAAAGATACACATCATGGTGTTAAGTGCATTGCCTAAATGTCTTCAAATAATAGAGATATGCTCTTTTTCATTATCCTTCATGTTCAGAATCAATCAAACCGAGTTTGTAATTTTGCTGTTGTTTGATGTTTCGAAGGAATGCTTTTTTCCAGATATTTAAGAAGCTTTGCTTCTAAAACAGTAAATTGTCATCTTGCATCTGTTGGTCACTATAATTAGATAAACTTCGATAGCTTTTATTATATAAAGATCTGAAGAATGGATGATTCATTGAATCATTATGCAGACTCGCTTAAATTGAGTCTGTACATGCGTATAACATCCATATAAGTCCAACACCCTTCAAGCCCTCACGAAATCAAATGTTGGGTCGATGGAAATAAAATGCTCATAAAAATTAAATTAGTCTGAGCATCTCAGATTTTTTCATCTATTCATTAAAAATCATTAAAGACTTAGATTTTTGTGAAGCATAAAAATCTAAACGAAATTTAATTGGGGGCTATACACCGCTTTTCATGATAATGGACTGGTGCGTATTTGTCATAATGAAGATTTTATGATAGCCACCGTATGAACTAATCTGCGGCTGTTTCAAAATTTAATATTTCGCCATTTTCATGTAAAAGCCGGTGCAAAGGGACTTGGGCGTCAACTTGAATTTGAATCGACTGTCCATGAACAGGTCAAATCAAATCAAACATACGACAAAAAAAACATAGAAACCAAGGTAAAGAAAAAAAAGAAAATTCGAAATTACAGCAAACACTTCAATACTGTATAACTTTCCTTATTTATATTTCATGTATTTAGTGGGTAATATCAGCTATCGTCTTTAAATGCTTAACAGTTTTGTGTGTTAAAGCTTCATTCAATAAAACAATTGAATCTTGGCATAAACATAGCATATAAAACAAAAGTCTCTAGTTAAAGAAAACGGCACAAATCAAAACAATATGTACTTTGTATGTATTTGATATATTTATGTCATAGCTAATGAAGTATAACTAAGAAATTATGGTACTTCGTCCAGGCACAATAATAATAAATGACAGTCTATATAGCTTGTGTAAGTAAAAGAGCCAGGTTGCAAGCGATAAACAAGTTACTTCAAAGGTTTAAAGGCTAATTATGCCTCAGAAATGCTATAATTGTTATTGCTCAAAATCTGAAGAAAGATTGATCCCTCTGAAGCATTAATCACATCAAAATTACATGAAAGTAGAAAACACGGTTTTATTGAGTTTGTATATGCCAGGTAACGAAACCGAGCAACATACCTCAAGCCCCCTAGCACCATCCTCGGTAACCCATACGTACTCGTTACGTATACACTTCACTGAATGTAGTTCGGCGAAATCAGTAACTGTGGGTTTCGACCATACCTAGCACCGGCTGAGCGGTACTCAAAAACATTTTTTTCAATTTTGGTATCTTGTTAACGTTTTAAAAACATACATATTTCCCATATACATAAATTCAACTATCTTTTGGTGATTTTGTTATATTGGCAATTGATATAATTATAGTAAATGTGTTTTTGTATGGAAGTCAATATACTCCTTGTGTTTACATTTTGCTATACTTTACAACACAATACTGCACCTTCAGCTTTACTCTTTAGTTGTTAAACATCTAACATGCTCTTAATCCATTATTATCAAACTCATGTTTGACATATCTAAAGAATTAAACAATATAGATTTCTGAGGCATAATGTGCCTTTAATATGATATTAACTTTGCCGACAACTGTTTTCAATTAGAGTCTTTTGGCGTCAAGAAATATTAAGGTTCTGCTTCACGTTTATATACAATATTTGTGCACATAAGCCAAGGCACAGGAGTGTTATAAATCCATTAAATATAAACGATTTTACATTAGTGTAATAACACTTGACGTGACGTCATTTGCGCTATATACAAAAAATGCGTTAAAATGGGCTAATGTTGGCTAATGTTGGCCCGTACGAAATTGACTCTTTGTAACTGTAAACCGATTTTATTATAGATATAAGATGCAATACTAAATTTATAAAACTCGTTTAATATAACAAAGGCTCGCATAATATGATTTTATTTAACTTGTACAATAAAAAGAGTATCAAATTACATAAATATATGCATTTTCCTTCCTTTCAATTACTTATTTTGTCTGTCTTCATCATGTTCATGCCGATTTTAATACATTTTGGTCAAATCTCGGCTATTTTGTTTAAAAAAATATCATATGACAGGTTTCTGAAAAATGTAGATTTGAAGAACGAAGCAATAATGAAATAGAAAATATAGCGTATTCTGCGCTTATGCTTTTTGACAGTCAATATAATATTATAAAAAAAAATAAATTTGCAGAAAACACTTTACAATGGACAATACAAAAAGTAATTATCCTTATAAATATACAGCTGTCCTATCTCTTGTTTTTGATTGGTTTTATAGTGTTTTAACACGGTAAAGGTCACATGGTGCCGAAAAAGGAAAGATGACTTTGGCTTACCTTGGGTGTTACAAACTGAAAGCAACACCAGGGGTCAAACCGCCGCACCTACTGGAGCTAAAAGATGCGTTGACAGTTATTCGAACCAGTTAAGTCGCCCCTTACACTCATGCAGCGTTAAACGGTGGTTACACGCTGATGCCCCAACCCTTATTTTAAAGATTTTTAAAGATAAAAGAAATTAAAATGTTTTAAAAATAATTTACCTAGTCCCAGACTTTCGCCTTGAAAAGATGTGGCGAACAACCTTAAGTCCGACCTACGCAAATAAAGTCGTTAGCATAAAGTGTTTACTTTCAATCATCTCTTCGATTGAGGAAGATTTACTTCAATTTTTGGGGATTTATTTTAGCTTATCAAGTATATCACCTTTTGAAAGGAGAAACGTTTTTGAATTGATAAAAGACGGGTTTTTAAAACAAAAAGGCTTTAAAATGTTTTTCGGTCTTCTTATATTTGTGAAAATTATTCTGATAACATCTGGGCATCCCCATGAAAATAGAAAAAACGATGAACCAATTTGTTCAAAATTTGACTATGAGGAAAAACTTTTAGAAAAAATGATAAGAATGGAGATGAAAATGGAAAAGATTATAGAGGAAGTTAAAGATAAAGAAAAGGACGTTATGACCATAGCGACCGATGTGTCACAAAGAGTTAGCAATATGGAGAATAACGCCATTCAGTTTCAGCGTGATGTCAACCGAACAATGATTGGGCTTTCTGATAACTTCAAAGAAGAAACAGCTAAACTTTAAGCTGGTATAAATAGTTTTAATAGTTTACGTTGATTAAAAGTTGATTTTATGCTTTGATTTATGTTTTACGGTAAGTATCTTCCCCTTTGCCCCTGGTTTTTATTTCCTTAATTCCCCCCCCCCCTTCCTCGGGTCTTCTGTCCCCTTCCCTTGTGCCCTTTCACTTTATGGGCCTATAATTCAATCAGTTATTTGTTTTCTTTGAGTTCCTTATCAGTTACTGTTTGTTTTTTTATGTATGATTTTAGTGATTGACCTGCCCATGCTCTGCCTTTTGCCCTGTTCTGTTTTTTTTGGGGGTCCTTCTGGGCTCTTTGTCACTGACTCTTGTTGCTGGTTCACGCGGGGGTTGCGTTTATTGAACGCCACCTTTCCTTGTTGATCTTGTTTATCATATTTTATTTATATACTAATTCTACTGAGGTATCCTTTTCAGATGACATACCGATTGTGACAAAATAAACTAATTTAAGACAGCATTCTTTTTTTGACGAAGACAATTATTTTTCTTGTTGTCTGACTTCTCCGTTTTTCATCACACTTAAAATTATCTACATCACTTATAATTGTAAGATGGATAGTTATGAGATCATCAGTTTATACAAGTAATTATGTGTTAGTCTTTCACTGAATGGTCATAATTTTCAACACTGGTTCTCGCTTTTTTGCAGACAAATCGCTGTTGCCTATCGTCGGATTCAACGCTCGTTTATCTTCGACAAAAACAGTGAACACAGGGAATAAGGTTGTCTACGATACCGTAATAACAAACCAAGGCGAAGGTTACGATAGTGTCACGGGAGTATTCACTGCACCTCACAATGGACTCTATTTCTTCACAGCCCATGTTTGTAATCAAGGAAACAAGGATGTTCATTACGCAATATACCAAGAAGGCACACTCATAACCACCAGTACACAGTTTGATAATGGCGGCGTTTATAGTTGTAGCTCTGTAAGCACGATCGCCATGGTAAACAAGGCGGAGCGGGTGTGGGTACAGAGTTTAGATACCTCTGTGTATTACGTCGACACACGCAGATGGAATACATTTGCTGGATCGCTTTTGATCAGACAAGTTCGTTGATTGCATAAAAAACACTTATTTGTTTATATGGTAAACCTGAACATATATTTATCACATGACTCAGCATAAAACCGTGTATCTGTAGAATACACATAATTTGTAACACAAAAGCGCGCACTTAAAACAACGTCAAATTCATATACTTTTATTCATCGTAAAAAGGAATATACCATTATTTTGTTGTTTTCTATGAAAACATGAAAATGGTTGAAGTTAGAATTAATAGTGAGAGATTGTCCTGGTTTTCATTATCTGTTTCCTAATTATCTTATTTATATCTTATAATGCTACTAAGCAAGGAGGTTTTTTTTATTGAGATTAAAAAATGTCAGCTAAATATCATGAATGAAAAAATGACCGGAACAAAGACAATTGAGAGATTAAAGCAAATAATATTTTTCAAGGGAAATAACAAGCATTTGTACTTAGCACTTTGCTATATATGTATGTTTTGATTTCGCTAGTAAATTCATCGTTAAAAGAACCCATGACTCATAAATAAAAACACGCTTCCTGTTCATAACAATTAAGTCAATAATTCTATAATATACAATTTTTAAACTTGATGTTATCAGATAACTTGACAATTTAAAAAAAAGAAATAGAAGATCAACAGCAGAACAATCCACAGACACATTCCGCGTCCGTACTGTCTATTTGTTTCTAAATTTAAAAAAATCACCATTTTCCATGTTTAAATGTTGAATTCTGCTTAATCCGTTGCTATAGGGTGAGGACGGTAACATGCACTTTACAGTGCCGTCCATGAACAGGGCCTGCAACATTTTCAGTTTTATCGTTTTGGTCGTTCTTTTGGGATTCCGTTTACTCAACTTTTATGCCAAGTGTTAGTATTGTATAGGCTTTGAATTAGCTTCATTATAAATTTTTTGCCAGATATATAAATCTCGTGACTTTTTAGTTCAGTTATTTCATTCACCACGATTATATGTCTCGGCACATACTATCTTTGTAATTTCGAGTCTATGGTTTTTAAAACCTCCTTCATTAATGTAGAGTTTAGGTCATTGTTTAGTAATCAATTTGGAAGTTCGTTAATAAATGTCTTCCTGACTGATGCCTGACGATGATAGGGTGATAGCGGGTTGGGAAGTTTGCAGTCAATTATATTAAAGCTAACACTGTCTGCTTTATATTCTTTATTCGCTGATTAAAATCGTGATATAACACATCAACAAATCTAGACTTTTAACTCAACGACTTTTGTGCGGGATAGCTTTTTTTGACGAGATAATGATAGGGAAATAATATTTAGATCGACATTGGTTTATCTATTCTGGCGTATCATATTGTGATGACACAAAACGTTTTTTATTTTTGCATATGATACAGACAGAAAAGAAAATTAAAATACTTGGCAACCTGAGTGATACTCGGAGTACACGGCATTTCTTACAAATCAGATAGCCTCGTATTTCAATGCTCTTTCTTTTACATATTCGACCTATGTTTGTTTTATGATTATTTGTTTGATTTATTGCTCATAAATCCGCAATTAATATATAAATTTTAACTAATGTATTCAAATTTATAAATTTATATAGAGGGGAAATATGTCTACAAGTATAGTTAAGTGGCAATATTTAAACAGATTTCCTTGAAATTTATGTGTAAAAACTATACATAACAAAATTATGTCTTGTTACAGACACCTGCATATGAAAGAAATATATATATAGACCCATGAAACATGAATTAGGAAGTATTCTTTTAACGGAAAACTTAAAAGGGTAAATAAAATTTTTCTAAGATGAAAACAGGACAATCGCATAATCTAGTTTGTTTTTATATTTACCTAATTTTGGTTTATTTTCAGATTTTTTAACAATAAAAAATAATTATGCATGAACATACAATATATTGAGATATACATTTAAAGGGGAACAAAACATTTTTAGGATTCTACAAAGATTATAAAGAAAAGTAATTCATTAGCATCTTGCTAATATTGTAACAGGTTTTAACATAGTTATTTAAGCTCGATTGTGAAACAAGTTATTGCAATTTATATTTATTATTTTCGAGATTTCCTGGAACCAACCAGTTCTAGTGCCATGTGTAGAAACATTGTCAAGACCCGCTTAGAGCTCGAACCCATAATCCCTGGGTATGGAGGCAGACACCTTAATCACTAGGCTACCGCTCCACAAACTAGGCCATCGCTATCTTGTAGATTGAAATACGTTATTAATGCCAGACCTATTGTAAATATATCATTAAAAAAAGATTTCTTTTTAGAATTATTACATAACAATCCTATAGAACTGCTTGAACATAAAGGCAATATCCAAATATAACATATTATTACTTATTTTTTCTGCTTAGGGGAAACAACTCCTACTATTTTAATAGTGATGTTCATTTAAGAGTTGTACATCTTGTCATGAATATCATGAATACTTAATGCATAAATATCATTAGGAAGGAAAAAACTAGAAAGATTAAAGGTCATAAAAGTTTTCAAGAGAAAAATGGCAGTGGATTTTACCCAGGATCAAAGCTTAAATAAATGATCTTAAACATTAGTCTTGATTTGGTTGCAAGGAAACATACTTGCCCAATAAATTGTGAAACTGTAAAACCCTACAATTATTTTTTAATGCGCATGCGTAATCAACAGTCTACAGTGTATGGTCATTGAATGTGAGTCTCAATCTATTTAGACTAGGAAAATCTTGTTCAGTTAGTAAATATGATACTGCACCCAGTGGACATAATCTTATAGAAGTTCTGTTGACTACCGTTTATACCAATGTGATTACAGTCGTATTTAAATCATATTATAAAGGGCATGAACTTCTTTTGCAAAATGGTTTTTTTGCAAATGTAGTACGTTCTATAAAATCAAAGAATTGGCAAAAAAATGCAGTGCTTAACAGTTAAACTATGGAAAAGTCATCTCAGCGCTATATTATTCGATGGTAGGTATTGTGTTGACATACAGGAGTTGCGATTAACATAAACAAGATCATTTTAACTTACTTTCAACCAAATCGCCTAACTTCTCTAACATTTGTCTAGTCCAACGCCCAGACTAAATGGTAGTAACGGCATAATACTTTTTAATGTATACATTTGGGATTTACTTCCCCTTTCATAAAAAGAATGATAGAACTATTTATGTTTTATAAAACATCATACATTTTTTAAACCTTAAATGTGTTTCTGTTTCAATACTAAATATGAAATAGGTAATCTAGGCAAGTCAATTTTGCAAGAAAATAAGTTCATTTTATTCGATAACATTTGAATACATCCAAACGCTGCCTATGAAATATTCTACGTGACCATTCGATTTATTAAATACAGAAGACACTAACTGAATCTATAATTGGAAGGCCAGTTCCAGCTTTAACATGTTCCCTGAAGTTTGGGGTTATTAATTGCCTATCAAACGCAAATATTAAATATTTGTTCCATTCACCCGAATGTTGAACTAAGAAAATAAAACTTTCAGCTAAACTTTGTTTTGTATATTACGAATACACAGGATACTGGAGAAAGAATTGTTTTTGGCAAAGCATTTATTGTTCATTAATTTCATTAATAAATTATTTGTATGGATTGTGAGTATACCATTTTCGTTTGTTATGAACATTGAATTTCGTATTTTCCCGTATCAGTATTGACTACACGTAAACCATTTTCATCTGTTATGAGTACTCTTATTTTACCCTTAATTGATCTATGTGAAAAACTATACCATTTTCATCCGTTATGAATATTCATATTTTGCGTTATTTGTCTGGATTTTGTGTATATCATTGTTATTTGTTATGAACATTCTTATCTCCCCAATTTGTTTGGACCATGTGTATATCATTGTAATATGTCATGGATATTGATTTTTATATTTTATCATCATTTTATCAATATATGTGTAAACCATTTTCATCTGTTAAAAATATTCCGTATTTCCCAATCGTCACACATAATATACATGTGTTAAATTATACAAATATTAAATGTATAATTATAATATTCAATTCATCCGCTAGAGGATTAAATCTTTTATTCAAATCTTACAACTTAACATTTTTATTATAATACCCCAATAGCGCCTCAAAAAGAGTTATGACAACTAACATTGGAATATATTATATATAAGACAGAACGAATTCTGGCAACGGTCTTTAAATCGTGGCTCACCATAGAAGATGTAGACTACATTTCAAATTTTGAATCCCACCACAAACCCACCCATTCAATTTTATTGTTTTTTTCTTTGTTTTGCTTTCTTCCTTTTTAATATTTTCAGATAACTCTATTAGCATGTCATGGCTGAAAAAGAAAAAAAAATACAGGAAAAGGAAATGCCTATATCTTAAGCGATCATTATAGGAGCTGATCAATTTGGAAAACAGACATGTAAAGTGATTTTATCATATGTACCTGTGTACCTTCGGTTGAAACATGTGCTACAACGTTTTAGCAACCGTTTCCGGTGTGGCGTGAACTTTGTCAGACCCGTGAGAAACGTAAGACTTTACGTTCTGCGCATGCGCAGGTAGATGTCGGACGGGGCCGTGAGAAATGTAAGACTTTCTGGTACAATTGTGTGTTAACCTCGTTTAGAAGCTCATTAATTAATCCAAGTGCAGTTCTTCCTTTTATTCATGAGCATAGAGATATTTTCTACGATACCAACTTTTATTTTTCTGTGACAACGTATCGTGTGGATGAAATATTGTCCAAATCAGTGGCAGTCTTTCGACATCGTTCGTTCCCGATGTCGAGTTGATGGAAAATCCTGGAAAATCGAAGAGCTTTGATCGAGGTAAGCTTGTTTTGATATTTTATATTAGAATGTTGTTATTTCAAGCATCGATGAAAGTATGTTAGTTTTTATTAATGCTTACAGGTACTGTAGGCCATGCCAGTCTGTTTTAAGAAATGCCAATGGGCGGTATGTAGCTCAACCTTTCGTTTCTTAATTTTGTTTTAGCCGACCAGCCAGCCGACATTTGTAGATCTAGGGG